TCCCGAGCCCTGCTCCTCTTACTTTCCCTGGAATCCGTAGTAGTTCCCCAGGATCTGTTTGTACTCCTCGTGGGCGCAGAACTGGATGGCGGCGTAGGGGATCACCCGCACCATGGTGGCAGAATTCCCTCTCCACAGGCTCCAGAAACCCTCGTTGAGGTAGGTGTGATAAATCAGCCTGTAAGCTTCCTGGGGGATAAAGAATAATTCATTAATATTCATTTTTTAATTATTATATCATATTCTAGTGCCATATTCTATTGCCATATTCCTATTAGAATATTATTTCTATTATTGAATATTATTCATGGTTATATTACTGTGTTTCCCACAGGGAACAGAGGCTCAGGGACAAGGGGAGTGCAGGGCAAGGAGGTGACCCCAAAACTTGACCCTTCCCATCCCAGATCCTCCATCACATCCACGGGCTTTAAAATCCAGAAGAAATTAATAAAGCAATCAAAATTTAACTTAAAACATCAAAACTAAAAATCACAAGGAAAAGGTCCCATAAACACAAGGAAAGGTCCCAAAGTCACTAAAAAATGTCCCAAAACCCAAAGCCCTGAGTGATGTCACATTTATTTTCACATCACAACCTGGAGTTTGAATCCCCCCAGCAATCACTTTCCTAATTAATCCTATAATTAACAACACCATTCCCAGTCCTTCCCTCTGTATTTTCATAAATCCCCAAAAAAGTGAAATAAAGGCCAACAAAAGATTAATTAAACAATTCAGGCCAACAGCACACAGACATCACCTCACCTTGGCAGAAAATCTTTTTGAAGACACTAAAAATAAAAAAAAAAAAAAAAAGAAAAAAAGATTAGGGCTTGCAAGACATAAAAAACATTTGAATCCCTAAATAAGAGATAAATAAGCAGGTGTTTTGGCTAAAGGGATAAAAATAGAAGGAAAAGAATGAATGCAAGAGGAAATGGAGATTCTTTGTCTTTTAAATGCTCCCATAATTTAGCACAAAATTCTTTTTTTTTTTCCCTCTGCTGCCTGTTAGGAGAATTCAGGTTGGGTGGAATAAATGAATAAATACAAACAATTAATTAAAGAGAAAACACCCAAGCTGCACTGTTCCCTTATTTTTCAGAGCACTTCCATGCCCAGGTCCCACCCTAATTCCAGAATCCAGGGAGGAGAGATCCGAGCTCCACGCAAGAGCAGCTCCATCCCAGCAAAACCCAAATCAACTCCCTCGGTTTTTTTTATTTTTTTTTATTTTTTCCTCTCCCCACTTCCCCTGCATCCATCCAAAGTGACAGCACGTCCTGATCCCTGGAATCCACGAGGCAGGCTTTGGGAAGCAGGATTTGTCTGGCAGCTCTGCCAAGGGAAGGGAAAACCCTGGCTGGAAATCTTTAATGAAATGTGGCTCCAATTAAGGGGCTGCTGCAGCTCCTTCCTCACTCAGCTGAGACTCTGGAGCCTCTCAAGTGTATCCAACAATTCCATGCAAATCCATTTTTTTTTCCCCCCAATCTGCTGCTCCCCCGTGCAATTCAATGCTTTTATTTTGAATTTTTTTTTTAAAGGAAAAAAAGCACTAAACAGTGAAGGTTTTGTTCCTTTAAAAAAGGGATTTTTTTCTCTCTCTCTGCCACAGGGAAATTTGTTGAATGGTGGGATGGTTTGGGATGGGAAAGCTCATCCAGTTCCAAATCCCCAGCCCCATTCCTCAGTTTCCAACTCAAGGTGATCCAAAGGTGTTTTCCTTCCTCATAGAAAATAAAATCCTTTAGGACAGCAAGAACCAAGAAGAATCCATCAGATCCCAAGAAATTGCTCCAGTGGGAATATTTGAATCCACTCAGGGATTTTGAGGAATGTCAGCTGCTGGCTCAGCCCAGCTCTGTGGCTTCCCTCTCATCCCTGCCCCTCATTTTCCACCCTAAAATGAACCTGGGGCTGCTTTTGGTAGGAAAACCCCAAAGATTCAGGTCCCAGGGGCAATCCCAGCAATTCCAGAGCCCTTTGCTGTGCCCAGAATGAAAATCATGTGAGGAAAAAAAAAATCAATTCTAAATGAAATGTCAGCCAGGGATTAGATTGAGCCCAATTCAGTTAATCTGGGACGTCAGCAGATTTTAAATTCTTGGCTCTCCCAAATGTCCACGGAATTAAAGGCCTGTGCTGTTCCCTTTGGGATAATTGGAGGATCCCCAAATCCCCAAATCCTGCTAAACACACGGGAATTCTCCATTCCAGTCAGAGGAATTTCATTTCCTGTCACAATCCAGGGGTGCAGCAGCTCCAGTGAATTCTGTCCCCCAGTCTGGGAGGAACTGACACAGTCTGGGCATCCAAATCTCCTGGAAAAGGAGCTGGATGAGCACATCAGAAGCTCAAAGGGCTCGAAATTTTTAAAAAAGTTCAAGTTAAGTTTGGGAAGAGCCCCCAGGAGTCACCTTGGAACATGATTTTTGTCCTGTCCAGAGGAGCCACTGCAGTTTTAGCCACAGCCCCAGCCAGTGCCCCAGACATCAGAGAGTTCAGCACTTTCTTCTTCTCCTGGTTATCCTGGAAAAAAAAAATTGGATAATAGGAAAAAAAAAAAATCAATCCCACAAAGAATATTTCACCTTTTCTGCAGCATTCACCCCAGTGCCAGGATTTGGGTGAAAATGTTTCACTGAATGTCCAGCACAGTGAATTCCTGGTTGGATCATGAGGCAAAATTCCAAGAATTCCTCTCCCATGTGCTCTTTTCTCCCTGTTTTTTGGGGGTTTTTTTCCCTCTTTCTTCTCCCTCCCCACGGTTTGGGCATGGACAGAAGGGAAGTTTCTGGAAGATCCCCATTCCCACATCATTCCCCAGCTCCTGAGGATCCATCCGGGCAGGTTTCCCCCCTCTGATGGGGGAAATGAGAGGGATTTTGCTCTTGGCATTCCTGCCACAGCTCAGATTTATAAAATCAGCATTTTTTTCTCCCACAGAGAGTCAAAAAAAAACAAAAAAAAACCAAAAAGCCAGAGAATCCAAGGCCGTGGAAGTTCTGGAGTGAGAACAAGCCCAGGCTTGACGTGTGAACTTTTGACACTTGGTGGGTGAGAGGAGTTAACGTTTTCCCTGTTTTCGGGACATTTCCCAAGCCCAAAGTTAATGTTTATGACCCCAAAGGCCTGGATCAGCTCAATTCCCCCTCGCAGGCCGCGGGGGCAGCCCAGCAAAGCCGAACTTCAGCCCCGGCTTTGGGCAGAGCCACGCAAAGGAGCCAACACCTGCCCCGTGCACACGGGCCCGGCCCAGGGGCTGCGAAATGGGGACTGGTGGCCCTGGGGCGGCTCAGCCTGGGCTGGGAATTCCCTGCCTGCCGTCTGGGAACGCCTGGGGACACATCCCACGGATTGCACAAACCCCGGGGCTTAAACCCCACCCCGGTTTGGGATTTGGGATTGGAGTTCATCCCATTCCAGGGGCAGGGATATCTGCCACCACCCCAGGCTGCTCCAGCCACGCCTGGGACATTCCAGGGATCCAGGGGCAGCCACAGCTGCTCTGGGAATTCCAGCCCAGCCAGGAATTCCTGCCCAAAATCCCACCCACATTCCCCATTCCAGTCTGGAGCCATTCCCTGAGTCCTGGAATTCCCATCCCAAATCCATCCCCTGTGTCCCGTCCCTCCACCCCTCATCCCAAATCTCTCTCCACATTTCCCTCAGGCTCTGCAAGATCACAACCAGGTGACCCAGGAGCTTTTCCAGGCTGCACAATCCCAATTTTTCCCAGCTTTTCCCCAGTGCCCGTTCCCTTTGAGCATCCTGGAGCCTCCCCTGGCTTTGCTCCAGCATCCCCACATCCTGCCAGGGCTGGATGCAGAATTCCTTGTGGGATCTCACCTGGGCAGGGCAGAATTCCCAGCCCAGCCCCTGCTCTCACCTCTGCTGGAACTCGGGCCGGGAGGGGCTCCACATCCCTCTGGAATTCCACTGCACCTTCTCTCACACCATTACCCATTCCAGGCACACTCCACGGGGGCAGGAGAGCTACAGCTCCTAAAGGAACCCAAAAAACACAGGAAAGGTGTCAGAGGGGAAATGTCCTGGTGACAGAGCCCAGGGAGGGCGAGCCACCACCCCCAGGGCCGTCTGCAGCAGGAAAACCCTCCCCCAGCTCCCAGAAAAAGGGATTTTCCAGGATCCTGCTGCCATTTCCTTCCTGCTTTGGTGCCAGATAAAACCTGCGCCGTTCACATCCACTCTTCCCACCCCACACAGAGTAACAACACGAATTTAGAGGAATATCCACAATTCCCAGGGAGAAGGAGCAGACCCTGCCTGCTCCCACTGGGGGCTTTGGTGGCTCTTTGGGACCAGCAAGGACAGAGTGGGGAGGGAAGGTGGAAATTTAAAACCCTTTGGAAAAGGGGGAGAAAATCGTGCCAGGAATGAGTCCCCAAGGCCAGCCCTGGGCAGGGGGGTTATTTTTGGGAACAGAGGGATCCAGTGCCTCACACGTGCCCCAGGGGCCGTTCTGGGATTTCAGCCGGGTCCTTTCAGGATTCCCTTTCCTCCCAGGGTGGCTTGCACAGGCTTTTCCTGCTCTGAAATATCCCAAACCCACCCTCCAAGAGAGGAAAGGTCGGCCTGACCTTGGCTGCAGAAATAATTCTATTTAAATGGAAATAATTCACTTTTTTTTTTTTTTTTTTTTTTTTAAGCTCTGACTTTTCTGGCATTTCTGCCTTTAACGCTGCAGCTTTTCCAGCCTGGGACTGAAGCCCTGGGGGGGCCCAGGGAGGTGCTCACAGGTGGCCAAGGACAAAAATCACTAAAATCACTTTGCTGAGCCACAAAGCTGCTCCAACAGCCCCACTCGGGAAGGGCCACACTCTCCAAGGAAAGTTTTATCAGGAAATGAGAATTCCTCAATCCAGGCACTTCTTGCATTTCCTTCCCTCTGAGCCTGCGAAGCTCAGGCACATTTTCCTTATGTAGGAAAAAAAACCAAAAACCATTTCCAGCCTCTTTTCCCCTTTTCTGAACAATCCCAGGTACTTCACGCTTGCCAGCACCTTTCAGAACTGCTGACCCGGGTTTGTTCCCTCTCAGATTAATGCCAGGCCGGGCACATCTGGAACCCAAACAGGGCTTTGGGGTGGAGGAGCCTGGAAAACACCTGGAGGGGGTTAATTACCCCGGAATTAACGGTGCCTTGGCTTGGGAAGGCTTTTTGGGATCGTCTCATCCCACCCCACACCTTCCACCACCTCCTGTCGCTCCAGGGATGCAAAAACCTGGGAATCCCAAAACCCCCAAAAATCCCGCCCCAAAAATCTCACCCCAAAAATTCCACCCCCAAAATCCCGCCCCAAAAATCCCACCCCAAAATTCCCGCCCCCATTCCCCCTTTTCCTGCCCCTCCAGGCCCTCGGAAATTTGGAATTTGCCTCCCTCCATCTCTTCTCGCCCTCGGGCCCTCAAGGCCACAATTCTCCAATTCTCACCCCCAAAGCTTCTCCAAAACTTTGGGAAAACACAAACTCACAAATCCCCAAACTTTGGGAAAAACACAAATCCAAAACTTTGGGAAAACACCAATACATAAATCCAAAAACTTTGGGAAAACACCAATCCATAAATCCAAAAACTTTGGGAAAACACAAACCCACAAATCCAAAATTTTGGGGAAACACCAATCCATAAATCCAAAAACTTTGGGAAAACACAAACCCACAAATCCAAAATTTTGGGGAAACACCAATCCAGTTCCTGAGGGCGTTTGAGGAACCCAAGGAGGGAAAACTCCAGGTTTTATTGGGATATAACACCCGACACAACCTGAACAAAGCTCCCTCCCAAACAAACAAAAAACTCCCCAAGCATCAAGAGCAGATCTATAATTATTCAAACAATTAATTATTTCTAATTATGATGACCTGCAGTCGTTTCCTTCCCTTCTCATTCCTCCTTATCTCACAGGCCTGGGAAAACCCCATTGTCAAATTAATTTTTTTTTTTTTTTCCCTTTTCAGCCAAAACGTGAAGGAAATCACAGGTGGAGAAATTCTGCCAGCCTGGAATAAAGGAATGTAGGTCACAATATCAGATTTATCACTGCCAGAAATAACCCCACCGAAATAGAAATCCAGCTGAAGGGCTCAGGAATGCAAAATGCAATTTTCTTTTTACAGACAATGATTGAGGAAGAGAGGCCTGGAAGGAAATTTGCCAAATTCAAGGGATGTTGTTAAGGCTGGAGTTATTTTTGCCTAAGGATTCACTCCACAATATTCCCTTTTTTATTTTTAGTGCCCCCTGCCCCGAGCCTACAAACACCTGTTTGTACACTGAATTCCACACATCGAATCTGCTCCCAAACGCAAAATTAGCATTTATTTCCTATTTTTATTCCCTTTTGCTGGCCTCAGAGCTGGATTTTGTTTTGGACTCGGGCTGGGTTCTGATGCCAGGGAGTTATTTTGACAAATAATTCACGTTGGAGCCACAGAAAACAGAAATTATCTTAAAATTTCGTCCGAATTGAAAGTTTTGGTGACAGTTTGCTGTGCCTGGCTATTAAAAACCAGATTATTTTGCATCTCCACCACCATGAGTCACTTATTTAATAGCCCAGCAGGAGCCACGTGGAGCAGCTGGATATTTCTGTTAAATCCTCTGTTTTGGATCTTTCCCCACACACTCATTCCCTCTGTTTACAAAGAAAAAAATAGAAAAAAAAAAAAACCACAAAAACCTCAAACTGGGGATTAAATGTGTTTGGTTTTTGTTTTTTTCCTCACCCAGTGCTGGGTTATTTTTATATATTTTTATTTATTTTTATATATTTTTATGGGAGTTACACAAGTCCCTGTGACACATCTGGATCCTGGAGTGCTCAGGGCTGCATTCCCTGAGGGATAAAAGGGGAAAAAAAAAAAAATCGCTGAAAAAATTGAGATTTTGGGGAGTGAAAAGCTGAAGAGTGACAGGCTGTGTGCTCTTCCACCAAAATCCATTTATGGAAAGCACAAAGCATTTATCCACACCCTGATCCAGAGTGGAACTCGGCCATGGGTTCAAGGTGATTCCAGAATTGGGGAAAAAGGGAAATTCCCCCTTTGGGATGGCTGAAATGACCTGGAAATCGTTAATTGCTCAGCAGAAATTAATGAGCTCCAGGAAATGAACACAAACTGGGGGGGGGATAATTAAAAATGAAGGGAAATGTAAAGAATTTCACACGGTGCTGAAGGTTTGGGGATCATCCAAATTTAATTCCATGGAGAAGTTTGGCTCCACCACCTGCCTGGAATTCCCATTTCCTGCATTTCCCCAGGGCAGGAAGAAGAAATCTGAAATATGAGGAAAAAAGGGAAGAATTTGAAGCATTTGATCCTAAAGGGGCTTTTCCCACCCGAAAAAAAAAAAATCTCAGAGGTTCCTAAAAAATGTGAATTTACACCTGTGCCAAAGCTCTGACACAATTCTCGTTTTCCTGTCCCCAGGAAGGACAAAGCAAACAGCCCCTGTTTGCTGAGAAATATTTGCTTTTTCCCCTGGAAAACCCAGCAGGAATGATGGAAAAAAAAAGAAAAAAAGAAAAAAAAGAGTTTGGAGTAGCAGAAGAATTTGGCAAAGCTGGGCCTTGATGCTCATAAAACTAAAAAAAAAAATTAAAGGAGGGATTTAATCTGAGGAGAGAAAAGACAGAGAGGGAAACTTAAAAGGAATTTTTAACTCAGAAATTGGGAATTATTGGGAATTGCAACAAGGTGTGGATGAAGCCATGACTCCAATTTAATTTAGTTAAAATCCCTTCCACAACTCCATTTTTAAAACTTTAATTATGTTGTGAACACACAACGAAATCAGGAAAGAATAAAACCCTGCAGGAATTTTCACACCTTTCCCTGCTGGAGCTGTCCCAGAAAAATTCAATTTTTTTTTTTTTTTTATTGGGTGAGATGTGCCCTGGAACAAAAACAACCCAGAAAAACATCAGGGGGAAAAAAAAAAAACTTGGAATGCTCAGAGTGGGATGAACTCTCCCCTTGAGGAGCCTGATTAAAATGTTAAAAATAATTTTAAAAAGGATGAAAATGTTAAAAATAATTTTAAAAAGGATGAAAATGTTAAAAATCAAGCCTGCAGCACCAGCTGGGAGCAGCCCAGGGCTCTCCTTCCCTCCAAGAACGATTGGAAGGAATCAAAAAAAAAATTTTAAAAAGGATACAAAACCTATTGAATTACAACAGGTGGAAGAGTTTAATATTTATAAATTTAAAAGTTTTGAAATTTAATTTTTTTTTTTTTTTTAGTTTAAATTTATTGGAGTTGAAATCTGCCCGGGGCAGCCATTCCATAATCCCGGGATTAATTCAATTTTTCTGATTATTCCCATTTTTCTGATTATTCCCAGGGAGCTGGGAGGGAGCAGAGGGAATTCTGGCAAGGGAAAACAGAGCAATAATTCCAATTAATTATTCCCATAATTCAGATTATTCCCAGGGAGCTGGGAGGGAATTCTGGCAAGGCTCTGCAGCCCCACACTGCACAGCAGCTCTTATCTGTCAGCAGCTTTATCTCGGGCAGGGAGCAAGAAAAAGTTTTTCTTTTTCCAAGAAAAAAAAAAAAAAAGCCCTCAACCCCTCCCTGAGCTCCAAAAACTTATTTGGGGTTTTTTTTTTCTTTCCCCCCAGAGGAAATATCCTAAAGAAACGGTGCTAAAATATTATTAAATTTAAAAATAAAGTATTTATTACATTTAAATATTCTGAAATTTAGGAAATTTAAAATATCCTGAAAGTAAAAATATCCTGAAATTAAAAATATCCTTTTTTTTTCCGTGGTGCACTGAGGTTCCCAAAGGGCCAAACCCCAGCACGGGGAGGATTTAAAATTCGGATTATTTGGGGCACAAGCAGCTCTCAGGGCACAGAACCAGCGAACATTTCAGCACAAAACGACTCTGAAAAACAAAATAAAAGCCACCAAAAAAAAAAAAAAAAAAAAAAAAAAAAAAAAAAAAAAAAAAAAAAAAAAAAAAAAAAGGAAATCCGAGTTCAAAGCTGCCATGGTGAAGCCACAAGTGTGCCAAGGAAATGGAATTTTCAGCCCGGCCCCCCCGCCTTTAATTGGGGGAGGATTTAATGAACCTTCCCCGGCCGGGACGCTGCACATTTCACTTCCACTGCAGCACTTCTCCAAGAAATAAAGAAATAAAATTTCAGTAAATTTTCCCTCGGGAAACTCTCAGGCCTCACAGCACCCAGAGTTTCATCTCTGACTGTGCAGAAACAACAACAAAAAAGGGGATTTAAAGATTTAAAGTCCAACTAAAGCAAAGAACTCCCCCAAGCCTCGTTTATTTGGCGACCTTGAGGAGCAGTTTGCACCTCAGCTCTCCTCCCCCTCAAGGCCCAACAGAAAATCTCGTTTTTCCAAGGATTTCCCAACAGAAAATCCATTTTTTCCCAGGATTTCTCAACAGAAAATCCCTTTTTTCCAAGGATTTCCTTTACCAGGAATCCTCCTGGATCACCTGGAAAACCCAGGCAGCCCCGAAGATTTTGTGTTATTTTCACACACACAAAAAAAGGACAAACCTGAATGAATCTGAATAAATAATCCTCCAAGTAGCAGCAAAGTGACTCAAAAAAAACCCAAATTATAAATTACTCCTGGTTCCTCAGGGTGGTTTTGTTGTTTTTTTTTTTTTTTTTTTGTTTTTTTTTTTTTTGGCGGCAACCTTTTCGGCCTTTTCCCAGGCCCTTCCCAGTTTTTTGGGTTTTTTGCACCTTCTTAAACCCGGTTTGGCCCCCCCAAAAAAAATTTTAAAAAATAAAATAAAAACCGCCTGGAGCTGTGCAGGGCAGGGGAAGCAAAGAGAAATCCCTGGAGCTGCCGAATTGCCCCGAGGATTTCAGCTGAAATGCAGAGCCCAGAACGGCCCCAGCGCCGCCCCTTTCCTCCTCATTTCTGCTTCTGAAACATCGCCTGGACTCGCAAAAATAAACTTTTAAAATTCAAATTCCCAGCGCTGTGAGGACGCTGGAAGCCAGCCCAGGTTGTTTTTTAAATCTTTTCACCCACAGGTTGTTGGTGTTGATTAAACCAACTTTTATTGCAACTTTTCTTCTCTTCCCTCAGGTGGTTTTTGGTTGTTTTTTTCTTCTCTGCTCCCAGCTGGAATGGATTAAAAAGCCAGGGTGTTTTCAAAATACTCCAAAAATTCACCTAAACCACAGAAAATAAACACGGGGGGAGCAGCCAAACCTCCAGAAACACTGGAAGTGATGCAGGAGAAGACAAAGTGACAGCAGCTTCCAAATCGTCAGCCAGAGGGAAAAATATCCAATAACAGAGAGGAAAAAAGGGGAAAAAATCCATCAATACACACAAAAAATGGGAGAAAAGAATCTATCAATATACACAAAAAATGGAGAAAAAAATCCATCAATACATACCAAAAATAGGGCGAAAATTCATCAATACGCACCAAAAAAAGGGAAAAAATCTATTGATACATACAAAAAAAGGGGAAAAAAATCCATCACACACAAAAACGCATCCTTGAGAGCCCTGCTCAGCATTCGCAGGGTTTTCCATCAGGCTTTGAAGGCACAGCAGGCAATTCTGCCCTGCCCTGGGAGTTTCCTGCTGCCTGTGCTGAGCTGGGAGAGGCAGCAGAGATTTGTGTTCAACACCTCCTGTGCCCCTGGAGCTGCCCCTGGCACAGAAACAGCGCTGTGCCCCCTCCTCAGCTTGGCAGAGATGGAAATAAACGCGAGGAAAAAATGGAATTTCGCACCTGGAAATGATGTTTGGGTGAGCCCAGCTTGGATGGGGAACAGGAGCACAGACAGTGGGGATGGCAGGGCGGGGAAAGGGACACTGGGACAGGCTGGGAAGGTGGCA